GGTTCTTAAGGTAAACCCTAAATCCTAGACTCCAAACCCCTAAACCCTACACCCGTAGCTGTGCGAAACTCCTTGGCTAGGTGGTTTCACCTCCCCTAAGCCCCACAGTTTAAAATCTAAAGCCATGAAGCCCAAGGCCCAAAGCCCCAAACCCCAAAACACAAAAGCCCAAAAGCCTTTACCCAGAGGGTCCATATATACTACCATAATGGCATTAGGTCCCAAAGACCATTCATATTATGGTGCCTAGGGACCTAATTCCATAATATAGTATATATGGACCCCTAGGGTGAAAGCCGAAGAACCCAAAGCCCGAACCCACGTGAACTTTCAACTTGAACATTGGGGTCTTAATCATTGAACAGGGCTCGAAGTATCCTCTGAGATTTCATTGAACAGGGCTCGAAGTATCTTCTGAGATTTTTGTTTGTAAAGATGGCCTCAGGTTTAGACGAAAACTTTCCAATAGCGCAGCATAATCATTCGGGTTACTACACTTTGCATATATTACGAACTTGATGAAGGCACTTCTGACCATACTTGACAAGTCCCCTGACCCTTTCAGCAAATAGTACTGAACCCTAAACCCTAAACCCTAAACCCCAAAAGCCCTCAGCCTTAAATCCCTGAACCCGGCACCACACCCGCAGCCAGCAGCCCAGAAGTCGAAGACAGGTGTTTCTCCCGGTTTAGGGTTTAGGGTTTAGGGAAGTTTAACGGGTCCTATTCTAAGGACCTATGCGAGGGAAATGTGCCCAAAACATGGTACTAGTCCCTACTATAGAAACCCACGTTTCTAACGTTTTCTACTGTACTATATATAGAAACCTTGCATAAACCCGATACTAAACCTTACATCCTTAACCCTAAACCCGAAATCCTAAACCCTAAACCAAGCCGACGGCGAGGTAGTGGGAGTACAATTCTGGCGCGGCGATCACCAATTTCCTCACTTCAATTGGGCTGGCGCCTTGATACTGCCACTGCTTCCCCAAAGGAGCCACGATCTGAGCAGCCTCAGCCACGGCTTGGTAGAAGTCCTTCAAGATTTCTGCCCTCATTGGTTCTGTGATCTTGGCGACCAGCAGTCCGTCTTTGGGAATTGTGAGCTGCCAGAAAGTGTTGTAATCACTCCGTGAGTGGAGGCGGATCCCCGCCTGAAGTGTTGAAATGTAGTTACAAGTGCTCCACCCCACCGCAAATTCGATTATCGTCTCGTCGAGTGCTCAGTGATCCTACGCAGGAACCAGACCTCGTTCCTCAAGTAGGACTGAAGAGCTTGTCTGTCGTACCAGACGAGTCTCCCAGAATGGGCCCTGCTGGTGGCGTTGAATCGGTCGTGATCCCTCTGGTGCCACCTGACCGGAAGGTACTCTGCAATGGGACCTTTCGGGACAATCAAAACCGAATGCTGCCACTCTTTGCAGTAGGTTCCCCACTCAGAAACAGTAAGCCGATCCCAAAACTTGACTACGTTGCAGGAAAATGCCACTGCAACTGAACCCAAATGCCTTGAGCCAAAATGTTAACTGCACCTAAACTAAAGCCTGAATGTGAAAGCAAAGGCCCTGACGGTGCTTGAAATAAACCCTCAGGTTTACGCTCTCACAACCTGCAAAATAATTGTGGTTTAGGGTTTAGGGCTTAGGGGTTCTAAGGAGAGACCGTTAGCCTGCTACAAGCCCCAAATAAGTGCTGAGATCAATTCTGGCTGAACTTGGGAAGGGGCGTGTAGGCATGTACCTATATACATTGGCATGTCAAGCTGGAATTCCCAACAAGGGTGTCAACACTACTTGAGACACGTACTGCCAGAGACAGACGATCAAAAGCGGATGGCCTAGTTCTGTGGCCCTAAAACCAGAAGTTGCTGTGTAGGAATCACGTGCACGCTATAGCAACCCCAAGCCCTAAAGCCTAATATAGGGGCCTTAATATAATTGGAATAGGGGTTTGGGGTCCTGTATAGTATAATTATCAGTAAGGAACCCCCAAGATGAAGTAAGTAATTATTGAGGCCCCTATATTCATCCTAAACCCTAAACCCTAAACCCGAAAGATACTTAGGCCCCTATATCCTAAACCCTAAACCCTATAGATACCTCGGCCCCTATATCCTACACCCTAAACCCTAAACGCTATAGATACCTAGGCCCCTATATCCTACACCCTAAACCCTATAGATACCTGGGCCCCTCTATTTCCCATCCTCCCAGTCTGCTTCGCCAAGAGTCCGCCTGCGGGCTGCGAGGAACTTTCACTGCAAGCCTCGGCTTCTCTGGTTCGGGGGCTGGGCGGGTTTAGGGTTTAGGGTTTAGGGTTTACCTGAAGCCATAAACTAGTTTTAAGGCTTAGGTTTGGGGTTTGATTAGGGATTCTGTCGGGAAACAAATGAAGGCCCTAACCCCAAGGAGAGGTTGCGGGTCAGCTTGATTCTTGACCACCCTTCGCAGTTTGGGGGCTTAGGGGTTTTGGTTTGCGGGGTTTAGCGAGCGTGGGTGCATGAGGCAATCCGCTGCAAGCAAGCACGCACTCCACGAGACCTGAACTAACTTCTACGACTTTACAGGGTTTTGGCCCCGAAACCCTAAACCCTAAACCGGGTGCAGGATCAAATCTAAGCCCATCAGGTCTACTGTCCAAACATTGCGGTTGTTGCTCTCTTGGGAATAGCAATTTGACTCCTCCTTCCAACACACAAATCATCCAAGAGTCCACAACGTACCTGAAATCCCAGAACCCCCAAAACATGCAACTCTAAGATCCCGAACCCTGGCAGCTAAGCCCTAAAGCCCCGACCCGTTGCCACAGAGCAGCGGCTGCACCCGGCGGCGAAAGAGACGGGCCCTTGGAAGCTGAGGTGGACCCCGCGGATGCGGCAGAGAGTGAGCAAGTTCTTCAAAGGTTTTGCTCTGCTTTCAGTCGTCATCGTCTGAGATTTCTTGTATATGCGCACGCACACACGCACACATACATATACTTGTATACATGTGTATACATACATATATATATATATATGTATATATGTATGTATGTATGTATGTATGTATGTATGTATATATATATATAGATGCTTAGTTAGGTATAAGTGTATATATTTAGTTATTGCATGCTATTTTAATATACATCTATGTGATGCTACTTTTGGCTGATGCGTCCTCCACGAACTTACGGCTCAAGACGCAGGGATCAGGGTTCGAGGCTTACCTTCTGTTTCAGAGTGAGCTTCGGGTTTTGCCGGCTGTGGAAGATGACGGCTTGACGGGACGACTAAACATGCTTATTAAGGGTTTAGGGTGTAGGGGTTTAGGATTTAGGGTTTAGGGCTAAACATGCTAATGTGTGGCTCCGAAGCAGACAATAACAATACCAATAACATTCAAAATAACCGTGATGATAAGCATGCTAATAACAACAACGTGAATCGCACCATTGGGAATAATCTAACACATTTTGGTCATAGTAAATACACATGAAATCAACATGCGAACAATCACATTAATACTAGTAGTAAACATCAGCAGAATCATCACCATGATCATGAGATGCAACACAAGGGATTCAGACGTTAGAGTTTCGGAACGCCAAGCTAGGGGTTATCAAGGTCAGGGGCTAGGTGCGAGTCGGGGTTTAGGGTTTAGGGGTTTAGGGTTTAGGGTTTAGGGTTTAGGGTTTAGGGTTTAGGGTCTAGGGTTTAGGGTTTAGGGTCTAGGGTTTCGGGTCTAGGGTTTAGGGGTTTAGGTTGATAGCCTAAACACAAAACTTTGAATCCCTGAGATCAGGGCTTCATGAACCCGGCATGGAGAAGTAGGGGCTCCGTGTGCAAAGGGAGTGACTAAGTCAGGATAGCTCATAACTAAGGCACTCTACCCCTCAACCCTAAACCCTAAAGAACGACCTCTCAAGCCCCTATGCCCTAACTTCAAACACTCAACTCTGAAACCTCAATCCTATAAACCCTAAACCCTAAACCCCTAAAACCCTAAGCCCTAAACCCCTAGACCCCAAACCCTAATCCCCTAAAGCCCTAAATCCTGTAAACCCTAAACCCCTAAATCCTGAACTCTGAAGCCCTGAGCGAAACTCCTCAGCTCCAGAGCCCTCCGAACGTAACGCCTGAAATCTAAGGGTTTAGGGTTTAGGGTTTCCTAAACCCGAACAAACATTATCACAGCAATAACAATAATCATAATGATAATAACAGTGAACGAATAATAATAATAATAATGATAATGATAATAATAATACTAATAATAATAATGATAATAATAATAATACCAGTAGTAATGATACGAATAACCATAATAAGGCTAACAATACGAATAATAATCATCAGAATACGAATAACAGTGATAATGAAAATCATGACAGAAATTACAATACCCCGTACCTGTAGTCTCCATTGCAGTTCCTTCTGTGGGTTACCTATAGTCTCCTAAACATAAAATGTAAAGTTTGTTAACCCAAAAACAAGGAACTGCACTGGAGACTATGGGTATAGAAGGGCATGGGGAAGGGGCCTGCTCAGCATGTCCGTTATGTCCGACTGCAAACATCGCTGGCGGAAGCCTCGGATGACCCTCCTAGCTCTGGATTTGAGGTTTAGGAGTTTAGGGCTTTGGGTGTTGGGCATTGGGGGTTTTCTGGTTTAGGGCGTGAGGGCCGTAGGGCTAATTGGATTTAGTTCATATGCTTTGGGGCTTAGGGGTTTAGGGCTTAGGGTACTCGGCGTTAAGGTTAGTGGCTGAGACACTGTTTGGGCTGAATATGCAGTTCCGGTTAACATACCAGCGAAGACGGCAAGATACAACCCGCAACACCCAACCCAAAGCCCAATACTCTAAGCCGAAAAACGGACCCAACACCGATGCCCTGAACCCTCGAGGGCCAAGTAGCGGGAGAGGGGGCGGTTAGGGTGGAGGGCTTACAAAGCTTCAGGGCCTTTGAGACTCTGGCTTGTTAAGGGCTTTCCCGAGTTGCTCTTTTGCATTTCGAAGAGAGTACCTACGAAGAACAACATCCCTGAACAGCTTCCCGACCCTCGACACTTTCCCTACATGTCCATTAAGGGCACGTCCAGACTTTGAAACCCCTGAAGATAAGAATGTCCCTATGGCACACTCTCTGCAAAAGTTTTACATCCTGCAGTCCGAAGCGCGATAAACCTAAGTCAGTGTCCTTGCCGTCTTACATATTCGCGATATGCTTAAAATCCAGCTTGAGATCCTTAACCCTAAGGGTCCATATATACTACTATTGTGAGATTAGGTCCCCAAAGCCATAATGTGAATGGTCTTTTGGGAAAGAGTTCCATAATGGTAGTATATATGGACCCATTGGGTAATTGAGAAACATTGCATTCCAAACCTTCAACTTGAGGCTTAGGATATAGGGTTCTACGCCTAGAAATCACCAGCCCCAATCCCAAGCCCCGGCCACTATCGGACGCTACACCCCAAACCCAAAACCCTAAACCCCCATGCCTTAAACCCCCACACCCTAAACCCTGAATCCTGAACCCAAAACCCCTAAACCCTAAATCCCAAACCCCTAAACCCTAAACCCTTAAGCCTTCCTTAAACAGAACCCCTCAGACCACCCGTGCCCGGGAGCCCAGGGGAACTAAGTCCACGTGGGCCAGGAAGAGGGCGAAAGAGGGCGTGACCTATCAGGGTGTAGGGTATCAGGTTGAGGGTTTAGGGGTTTTAGGGTTTTGTACTTAGGGTTTAGGGCTTAGGGGTTTTAGGGTTTTAGGGTATCAGCGTGTAGGGAGCTCCTACATAGCATACCCTAATGTAGGAGCCTTAATGGTTAGAATAGGGTTCCCTTAAAGGGTGCCTTGAAAAGGGATACTATAAGGGTTACTATGAGGGTTCTTTAATGTAGGACAGATATAGGACATGCAGTTGATGATATGGATTCTGCATTACCTTAAGGACCCTAAACTATGCGAATTATGGTATATTCCCTGTTATGGTTAAGGCAAGGTTTATATCATCAACCGTATCATCAGGGTGTAGGGTATCAGGTTGTGGGTTTAGGGTTTTTTGGCTTTTGGGTTTACGGGTTTAGGTCAGGGTTTATATGCTTTCAAGCCATGAAGTTGCTCAAACGACTTTGAACAGCTCAGGAAGTGCTTGCTGAGTCGGACTTGGGCATGTTAAGTCTTTAAGTTGGAGTGGGAGCCTGGTAGCCGTTAGGCAGATGAGCTTGAACCCCAAGCCCCTAAACCCTAGACCCCTAAACCCTAAACCCTGATACGCTAAACCCTCGACCCCGAAACCCTAAACGTCAAAACCCTAGACTTTAAACCCTAAACCCCTAAACCCTAAAACTCTACAACCGTAAACCCTAAACCCTAAAACCCTAAACCCTAGAAGGCCCAAACTCAATCGGGTACCAGGACCCCCCCTTCGTTCTCTGAAACCAGCGTCCGCTGCCCAAAACCCTAACCATGGCACCTGATAGTAGGATTTAATTTCGTGTTTCGGGTTTACGGGTTCAGGGTTTAGGGCTTAAGGGTAAAGCGTTTAGGGGTTTAGGGTTTGGAGGCCTTAAACTACACGCGGGTTCAGGGATAGATTATAGTACAATCACACGCGGGCCACAAGGAGATGTGGGTACTAACTGTTGGTGGGATGCTTTCTTCAGAGTCGAAGCTGTTCCAGGCAAAAAGAAGGGGCAACCCGAACCTCGCACTCAAAACTGCTGAAGAACTCGTTTGAAAATGGCTGTCGCTAGTGCTCTTCCAGGCGTGGCAGAAAGTCTAAGGTGCATTTGTTCTTTTGGGTTTAGATTGACATCAGCGTCCTGGTGCCGTCCGTGTAAAAGAATGTATCAGTGCAGCCACCCCTGGGAGGCCAAAGTATGTGCTGAAAGGTGCTGGGACCGTTTAGAGTTCGGCAGAAACAGGGTCGGGATACTTCACGGGTTTAGGGTGTGGGGTTTAGGGATAAATCACAACAGACGATTCCGAAACACCAACAGCCTCGAAGGTCTCTTGTTCGAGCACCTCGACAGGCATGGATGTACATAGGTTTGCGCAGAGCCGCAAAGCAAACGCAATCATGTCATATGGTTGCAATGCAAGGAGATACAAGGCGTCGCAGTGCGATGCGATGCACAGTGATGTAAGTTAGTGTGACGTAAACGAACTGTGATGCACTGAATCGTGCTCGACTGTTCAATGCGTTGCAAGGTGATGTAATGAAGTGCAATGCAAGGAAGTGCCGCAAATGTAACATAGTGTCATGTACTGTAAAGTAAACCAGCACAATGTCAAGACACGAAATGCAACGTACTGTGCGGTCCTGTACAGCACCGTGCTGTAATGCAAGGCAATGCAGTACGATGCAATGTAATGTATGTGTGTATGTGTGTATGTGCGGCTGCATGCACGTATGGGCACAATCGTGCATGCATGTGGATATACATGTATTGTAAGCTATACACGCATGCATGTATGCATGTGTGCATTTGTGTGTGTGTGTGTATTTACCCTGGTATGTGTGTGTGTGTATGTATGTATGTATGTATGTATGTATGTATGTATGTACGTATGTATGTACGTACATATGTATG